ATACATCCCCACAGTTAATAGATGATTATATCTCTGATTTTAGGATTTCACAGAACCTCTATAAAAATGTATTAATGTTTCCTAGCTTTCCTGTAGGAAGGTACCGTAAGTGCGTTTAATGATGCACCTACTTATGCCCAGCTAGTTCACTCAGTATGCTGAAGATGTTGTGTGAAACAGTAGAAGTCAGGGGAACTTGGAAGGTGCATTTTATTGGTTAATTTGAAAGGGGGAGTTTTTAAATATAGGATCTGTTTTTTCTATTGGAAATGTTAAAACCTTTCCTTACTCTGCTACATGTAGCTAGGACTTATTTTAGGTTGGAAGAGAAGAATGTCTGTTCCAGGCTGGCATTGTCTCTGAAGTTTAGGACAATAATTTACTTCAAATCTGGTCAGGGTCATAAAAACACTTCAGCACCAAGAACCTTTGTTCACCAAGGGTTACTCCCCTGTGTCATGCCAACATCATTGCAATGCTAACTGCAGTGAATAACATCTTGCTGCACAGCACTGGGGAGGTGGTATGCAGCCTGGTTTCATCTAGGTTGTTCCAGGGGGAAACACACAGCAATCTGTACTATCTCTTTAAGTTAGGGTTACCATATTTAAAAAATAAAAAAAAATTGGCCCCGCCCCTTCCCCAAAGTCCCCGCCCTAACTCCGCGCCCTCCCCTGAGCGCCCCGCATTCCCCCTCCTCCCTCCCAGCCACGCGAAAAGGGCTGCCCGAGCACTACCGGCTTCACGGTTTGCCGGTCAGCCCCCAGACCCTGTGCCCCCGGCCGGCGCTTCCCCAGCACAGCTGGAGCCTGGGAGGGGAAGCACCCAGCTGGGGGCGCAGGGTCTGGAGGCTGGCTGGCAAACCGTGAAGCTGGTAGTGCTCGGGCTTCGGGCAGCCTCCATGCCTCTGGACCCTGCACCCCCGGCCGGGCACTTCCCCTCCCGGGCTCCGGCTGCTGTGCTCCTCCCCTGACTCTACCGGCTTCGGGAGGGGAAGTGCCCGGCCGGCAGCTGGGGTCCAAGAAGCATGGGGGCTGCCCGAAGCCGGTAGCGCTCGGGCAGCTCGGCTTTAAACAGAGCAGAAGAGTCAAGGTAGGGAGCACAGCAGCTGCGGGAGGGGAAGTGCCCGGCCGGCGGTATTTTTCCTGGACATGTTCAGCTTTTTGGCAATTCCCCCCGGACGGGGGTTTGATTACCAAAAAGCCGGACATGTCCGGGAAAAAACGGACATATGGTAACCCTATTTAAGCCCTTCTTTCTGCTGTTAGCTCTGCTTCTGCTTTTTTCTAATACAGGACTTTCATTCACACAGGGCATCTTTGTCACACTTGACAAAAGTCCCATTCCTTGCTTTGCCACTTCTTCCTGTGGCCGGTCTATTAATGCATTGCTGCCATTAGTAAGCTGAGTTATGGTAAGCAGTTTGCAGCATACTGCAATGAGCAATGTACAGTGCCACTTAAAAAAAAAGAGTGAAAGTAGATATTTAACCAGTAGTGGAATAGTCCTGTGAAAAGCATTGTGAGCCAGTGTGCCTGGGGATTCTTGGCAGCCGTCCCAGATAGCGTTTTGTTCTGACTGGGTGTTCCTCATATGTTCCCTTTCTCTTTATTCCCTTCACAGCAGGAGTGGATAAGACTGACTCTTTGTGAAAAGAGTGATCCCATCAAGTAGATGGGTCACTTATAATGGCCATCCTTTGCCCCAGGAATAGAATTCCCCTGTCACTCATAGACAGCTCATTATAAACCATGGCATTCTTTCTTCCTGAGAGTCCCAGTATGCCTTTCACCTTCTTGTTTTCACCAAGTGCTATATTTTTCAATTAAAACTGATGATAGGGCTAATCAGGCCTGCCTGTTCTTGACCGGCCACAACAGGGGACGAGAGCCCTAGGAGTAGTGCAGCATTATCTGGATATGCGTGCAGATGCCATAGAGATGTTTAAAAATCCATAGGAAATTCCAAAAGATCTGGTGGTGATATTGAGTTAAGGACCCAGGCCCCTGCTCACCCTGTAGTGGTCCTGACCGCTTGAAGTAAAAAAAGCAAACAGGATGTTAGGAATCATTAAAAAAGGGATAGAGAATAAGACAGAGAATATCTTATTGCTCTTATATAAATCCATAGTACGCCCACATCTTGAATACTACGTACAGATGTGTTCTCCTCATCTCAAAAAAGGTATACTGGAATTAGAAAAGGTTCAGAGAAGGGCAACTAAAATGATTAGGGGTTTGGAATGGATCTCATATGAGGAAAGATTAAAGAGGCTAGAACTTTTCAGCTTGGAAAAGAGGAGACTAAAGGGGGGGATATGATAGAGGTATATAAAATCATGAGTGGTGTGGAGAAAGTGAATAAGGAAAAGTTATGTACTTGTTTCCATAATATAAGAACTAGGGGCCATCAAATGAAATCAATGGGCAGCAGGTTTAAAACAAATAAAAGGAAGTTCTTTTTCACGCAGCGCACAGTCAACCTGTGGAACTCCTTGCCTGAGGAGGTTGTAAAGGCTAGGACTAGAACAGGGTTTAAAAGAGAACTAGATAAATTCATGGAGGTTAAGTCCATTAATGGCTATTAGCCAGGATGGGTAAGGAATGGTGTCCCGAGCCTCTGTTTGTCAGAGGGTGGAGATGGCTGGCAGGAGAGAGATCACTTGATCGTTACCTATTAGATTCACTCCCTGCCTGGCATTGGTCACTGTCAGTAGACAGGATACTGGGCTGGATGGACCTTTGGTCTGACCCAGTATGGCCATTCTTATGTTCTTAAATTTTGTCTCTCCATGGGGTTTTCCATGGAAGGTCGTGATCTAGGCCAGAGATTGATCAGTGGACAATGGTTTGAGGTGCACTTGCTGGTGGTTCTTGGAGAGTGTTCTGGCCATGTGCTGCTGGTTGCTCTTCTCCTTCTTTCCGGGTGAGGGAAAAGGAGCAGATGGAAACACTTGCTCTTGGGGCCTGTTGAATCTGTTTGGCAGATGAGAACAGATGGTGATGAACGCTGTGTAGTGAAGACTCGCAAGCTCCCCTTGGGTTTACTTAACTAAATTCTCATCTTTTATTAAACAACAAAAATGTTTCCAAGGAACGATGGGAATAAAATCATCAGGCTAATCACCTCAAAAATCAGTACTCTTCTTTTAGCTGCTCTACTAAAGCTTTTCTCTAGACTAACTTCAAAACAAGTGCAGGCTAGTACTCTTGTTGCAGCAATGTATAATTTCCCTTTCTATTCCCTCACCCTACTTGCAGTCAGGACACGCAAACGCTTGGGGCAGAATGCATCCCGTGTAGCTTCACTGACCCACATGCAATAGACTTAGAGACAACTCTTTACATTTTGTTTGGGTTTTGTGCAAAATATTTTAATCTAGCAATTAGAGGCAAAACACCTGCGAATTAGGGGTTGACCTAGAGGCATGATATTTGTATACACAATGGCTGATTCTCTATCCCCCCTCTCTCCCAACTCCAAGTTTAGGAAAAAGCCATAATCTTCCTATATAAATTATTATTATATAAAATATGTAAATATGCTTATAATATTAGTGTTAGTTAAGGCCTTAACATTTTACTAAATGTCTGAGTTGCCCTATACGCCAAAGGCAACAAAAAGTATATGCTATGGCATAACATACAGCCCATGCCATTAATAGTAGCTAAAATATTGGCAATTATTGTAGAAGAACTCTGAGATAGTAACATGATCCTAAAAATAAGTGTGTTTGTGGGATCCGAAGCCAACCCTGTTTATAAGAACTAGCCATTCATGCTTGAGGTGAATGGAAATTAGCAAGGTGTGGTAGATACTGATAATTCTGTTAAAACTAGAAGATTGCATTTAATGAGAAGAGAGTAAAATTTGAAATCATAATTGGGAGCTGTTTGATCCTTCTGTCACCTCCCAAGCCCAGCAAACATCTTCTCTGTGGTAAATTCTAAGCTTGCTGTGTTTCCTGCAGTTTGTTCTCAAAGCTGTTGAGTGTATTTCACGCTAAACTAATATGTTGACTTCTCCTCCCACGTTGTAAAACTGTAACAACGGCTCTGCCATCATTTGGTTGTGAATGTCCACATCACAATTAATGATGTATTTCCACTCTGTTTGGTTTGCATGTGTGGTGTCAAAAATCAGAACATGCCTCTGCGTGAGCTCATGTTCTGTTTAAGCAACATGGAGTTACTTTTCCAGACCCCTCTGTAGCTTTGATGTTGAATTGAGGAGATCTGCCTTGTGGTTAATATTTGTATCATGTAAGTTACTATAGAATAGAAATGAAAGAAACTAAGGCCCAGATCCTGCAAGCCAATCTGTGCCGGGGATCACCGAGTACACTCCCTCATTGACTATAATGGGGCTCTGTGTACTTAAGGAGTCTGCCTCTATGGAGCTCATTGGAGGATCAGGTTTTAGACTGGAAGCTCTTTGGGGCGGGCTATATAGGCTATATAATGCCTCACACAACAGAGACCCAGTTTTGATTGGACCACCAGGAGCTACTGTAATAGAAGTAATAACTATTAATAAATATTAAACAAAAATAATGTTCCCATGTATTTTAAACATAGGCGTATGGTGAATGAGTGGCAATAAAATGGGTGGTGATGTTTTAATTCCAGTGTATCCCCTTGAAACTGCAAAGTAAAGTAATCTATTCCAAAGGAAAAACACATTTAGACCCAGGGGTGGACAAACCTGCAAACAAAAATTAGAGTGGCCTTGTATATCCCAAAAGACTGTGAATATAAATGTGTTATGAAGAAACTGTCTCAGGAACACCTGTGCCCTGAAAAACCAGTGTTAAGGGATGGAGTCTCTCATTCCAAACAATACCATTTAATTCTACAAAGCCAAGATTGGGACAGCACAATGAACTGCTACGCTGATGCTCTCTGAGCAGTGTGACTGCCATTAGGTTAAAATGCTCTCTTTGCTGTGCCACCAGTAACAACAGGCAGATTAAGACACTTCTGTGAAGTGGCCCACTAGGCATCTGCTAAGGCAGGCATAGCAGTGTCTATGTAAAAGGGCAAATAAGACCTTATTGATCCAGAAAACTTTACTTACTGAAAGCTTTTGTTTAACTTTAAAGCAGGGGTAGGCAACCTATGGCATGCGTGCCAAAGGCGGTAGGCGAGCTGATTTTCAGTGGCACCCACACTGCCTGGGTCCTGGCCACCGGTCCGGGGAGCTCTGCATTTTAATTTAATTTTAAATGAAGCTTCTTAAACATTTTAAAAACCTTATTTACTTTACATACAACAATAGTTTAGTTATATATTATAGACTTAGAGAAAGAGACCTTCTAAAAACATTAAAATGTATTACTGGCACGCGAAACCTTGAATTAGAGTGAATAAATGAAGACTCGGCACACCACTTCTGAAAGGTTGCCAACCCCTGCCTTTAAGGAATACATTGAAGGCTGCACCCATCTCATACAAATAATACTCTGCTTTAAGTAACCACACAGAAAAATTCCCCAATGTTTCCAGTATAACTTTATACTTTAGCAAAAGACCCACCTCTGCTAAGTAGCAGATGGGGTTTTTTTTGTGGTCCCTTAGGTGATCACTTAAGACAAGTGATGTAGAAAAACCTGCCTGGCCAGCATGTGTCATCTAATTGGAGGTTACAAATACAATAAAAAATGTGGTTACTCACCTAGGTCCTGATTCGGGAAAAAACTTATACACACACTTTGTCCTGTTGACTTTCATGGAACTTCAGCACATGCTTAAGTGCTTCCTGAATAGGGATGCTTTCCTAACTTGGGGTTCTGTGTTTATACTGACTGTCTGCAATATCCCAAGAGAAGCTGAGGGACAATCAGCCTCCCCCCCATCCCCGTCCCCAGTAACCCTGAAATGTTCTCTCTTCTGTTTGTTCAAAATGTAGATCTCATCAAATACTTCACAGCTGGGGAGTCCTGAGCCTGTAAAGCATTGTGGGAAGTCAGCACTCTTCCAGCTGGCAGAGGTAAGGTTCCTGTTACCATCACGATGTGAATATGTGTGCAGATTTTTCCCAAAACGCATGGGCTACACAAGTTAGTCTAGCACCAAACTTACCGTTAGCAACAAGGTAGCCTGAATACTAACTCAAATAATGATGCTGTCATTGGGGATACCTACGGCTTACCTTTTTTTAATTCATTTATGTTGTAAATGTAAATGGTCCCTTAGAAAGCAGGATCAGATTCCTGCCCTGGAGAACTTACAGTACAGCTCGGACAAAAACACCATTCAGGACAACAGGTACGGCAAGAGAAGGTATAGATGATTGGTCACTGCGGATACCAGGGTCCTGATTCAGAAAAGTATGTAGTCACACTTCAGTATGTGACTTGAATAGGACTTACACATGGGTGATGTGACCCAATTTAGGAAGCAAGAAGCAGGTTTTGAGGAATGTGAGGGTCTATATAAACAGTGGGGGCTGCAATCAGTATCCAAGATTAAAATTACCATGTGAGTATTTGGTAGCGATAAATAAACTAGCTGAGATTTAGGTGTCCCAGACCCTACTGGAAGTCCTGATGCATCTGAAATGTCAGCTTGTTTGTTGTTGATAAAACATACCCCATCCCCTTGACTTTTGGCTTGGTTATGTTGTTTTTAATATGTCGATAATTTACAAATTAAAGGATGTGTGCTGGGGTCCCTCAAATAAATAAGGAAAAGTGAACATTTCAGCATATTGTTCATTAATCATTTTTGTTTACTATGCAAGACCACAGCTTGCAGATTTCAGTGCCCAAAATGGTTCACTGACTCCCATCCAGTGGCATCCCAACACTCATTCTATTGAAGAGAAATCTAGAATCTTGAACCATTGAAAAAACTATAGAATTTGGACCCACGTAGAGTGGGTTTTTTTCCCCTGACTGCATAACAGTAATGTTTTGTGCCTTCGTGGTTAAAAAATAAGGATATTAGAAAGATACATTTTAAAGAAACATGCATGAGTGAAAAGAAGAGATTTGCCTTACCCTTTAGGCAGTCCCCAGGCTCAAGCAGGGTTCATTAGTGTGTGTGTGCTACATTGCCAGCAGGGTGCATGCTAGGGTGATCACAGTTAGCAGGAGCTAGTGATCTGTAGGGGGATGTGACCTTTGCCGCTCTGAAAACAAGCCAAAAAAGCTAGTGAACACTAGAAATGTGTTGAACTATCCCCTTCCTTTGTTATTAGGCAGCATTCTGTACGTCATCTTAATGTTGTACCCCTTTAATAATAGTGAGCCTGACTTCACTGGAGTTACACCAACACGGCACTGGAGTAACACTGTTGAATCGGGCCTGATGTTTGCATATCACCACTAGGTGAAGGTCTGGCACCTCTTAAGAAACAAATCCCTAGGGGTCATAGGAAAGTCCATATGCTTGCCCACAGGAGTGCAGAGTTGTAGCACAATTGAAGCAGAAGAGGAGACTGAGTCTGGCAGTGAGAAACTTGGATCTGAAACAAATATCTAGGAGTTTTCTCCATACAAACCTAATTTAATATACAAACTAAATGTAAGGTACAGGCTTCAACTTAAATTAATAAAAACACGGCAGACATTCTGCACACATCCTTCTTAAGATGCAGCATATTAGCTCTGGCTGAGTCAGCCTGAAAAGCCTGCCCTTGTGGCCACTACAGCACTATTCACCATGCCTCTATTTTTGCACTAGTCTTCTGGGGAAACTCTTACATACTTTAGGCCAGAGGAGACCATCATGATCATCTAGTCTGACCTACTGCACATTGCAGGCCACAGACCCTCACCCACCCACGTCTGTAATAGACCCCTAACCTCTGGCTGAGTTACTGATGTCCGCAAATCATGTTTTAAAGACTGCAAGTTACAGAGGATCCACCATTTACACTAGTGTAAACCTGCAAGTGACCCGTCCCCCAGGCACCACCTAGTGAGGTGCTGGTAGCAAACGTAGTAAATAGTCCCAAGATCAACATAAACAAAAGGTCTTCTGCCCTTCCTGGGCTCCACAGTCCGTTCTTTTCCACTCTCCTACAGAGAGAGCTGACTGTCCGGGCTTTTCCCCTCTGGGAATCTCCCTTCCTTCAGGGCCAGTCACAGAGGCCAGATAGTCTCCCTCCCGCAACCCTCCTCAGTCCTCCTCCAGGCCATCTGCCTGGGAGCTACCCTTCTCCTGAGTCTACCCGATAAACAAGGCCATCTGATTCCTAGCTGATCAGCTGTGAGGGTCACTGGTCTGTTACAGGTGATGCTGGGCCCAAGTCCCCTTCAAGAATCAGCTAGCCTATGAAAAGCTCACATAGGTTTTTTGTAAAAAGCAACAGAGGATCCTGTGGCACCTTTAAGACTATCAGAAGTACTGGGAGCACAAGCTTTCATGGGTAAGAACCTCACTTCTTCAGATGCAAGAAGTCTTGCATCTGAAGAAGTGAGGTTCTTACCCAAGAAGGCTTATGCTCCCAATACTTCTGTTAGTCTCAAAGGTGCCACAGGACCCTCTGTTGCTTTTTACAGATTCAGACTAACACGGCTACCCCTCTGAAATCTGAAAAAAGAATACATGGGTTTGCCTAGAGGGAAGAGAGCTACGGGGAATGGCACTGCAGATGATGGACATAGAATCATAGAAGATTGGAGTTGGAAGAGACCTCAGGAGATCAGTGAATCCAACCCCCCTGCTTGAACCCCAACTAAATCATCCCAGCCAGGGCTTTGTCAAGCCAGGCCTTAAAAACCTCTAAGGAAGGAGATTCCACCATCTCCCTAGGTAACCCATTCCAGTGCTTCACCATCCTCCTAGTGAAATAGTGTTTCCTAATATCCAACCTAGACCTCCCCCACTGCAACTTGAGATTATGGCTTCTTGTTCTGTCATCTGCCACCACTGAGAACAACCGAACTCCATTCTCTTTGGACATGCATGGTGACAAACCGATGCACCCCTTTGTATAAGTGTTACTACATTCTCCCAGGTATCCTTTCTCCCCCAACCTTTTCTGTGGTGGTCAAGTCATCCTGACCCACCAGGCAATTGCTTGGTGGCATTTTGAGTGGTGGTATCTGAGGCTTAACTGGAGGGCCAAGTCACATTAGTGATGGTCAGCTGGTCTCCCTGAAGCTGTTGAAAATCCACCAGTTCATCCCTTATCCTAGATGAGTGCTGTAGCCACTGGGCTCCTGCCTATTCGTGGGTTGGGCTTCTCTATCTTTCATTTTCTGTGAAGTTTTTCCCAAAGACCAGGTTTCATCCCAATATAGAATGGGAAAATATTTTGAAATCTTGAAAATGTTCAGGGGATGGGAAAAGGTTTTCCCATCTATGTCTACTCTGTATCCACTGCCATAGGGATTGAGGAATATCCAAGCTGAAATCATGCCTTGGAATGGCGCGTAGATATACCCAATCAGAGAAAAAAACTATTTTTAGAACCTGTTATGGTCCTTACGTTAGCTATCACTTATGGTCACCTAAATGTATTATTGCCCTTTGATGCCAGTGACTCTCTAAAGTTGAGCAGATCTTTCCATTTAATATCTAGCCTTCAGGAAGAAAAAAGACATTCCGTGACATGAATGTCTCTACAGGTACATACTATCCCTGCAACATCTTTCTGCTGGGGATTCCCAGCATTGGACACAGATCCTTCACAGGACCCTTTCTCTGAGTTTCAGTGGGGCAAAGTGCCATCAACTCTCACTGCCATTGTTGGAAGCTGGAAGAGAAAACCAGTGTAAATGAAAACATCCTATACCATTCATTATTGTCTATACATTTACAAGAGATGATTTCCCTCCTTTCCAAACTAATCTGACTTAACAGAGAGGGTGTGTGAAAGAGACAGGGATGGCAGAGCCCTGTGCCCTAAGGGACATTTCTGGCATGGGAAGGATTCAGATTTGGACAATCTCTCATATTCTGGCAGAATCTCTGCACGTATTTAATTGAATGCAAAACAATGCACAGTGTGCTGTGTTTCTGAGAGGAGACAGTGCACTAGCTCCGGGGGGAAGTGTGTGCATAACCCATAGTACATTCCCCAAGACACACTATTTCATGGGAGCAGTCAGAGTTGTTACAAGGAATCCACACATGGTCCCTTTTTGGCTCCTGTTTACTTGCAAATTTTGCTTTTCCCCCTTCATACCGATGTGACAGAGTTGATTTTCCTGGGATTCATGGACCACCCAGAGCTGCAGGTCCCCTTCTTCATGATGCTTCTACTGAGCTACATTATCATCCTGGTAGGGAATCTTGGGATGATTCTTTTAATCAGGATTGACTCACAACTTCACACCCCCGTGTGCTTCTTCCTCTGTAATCTGTCCATTGTAGCTGTTGCTTATTCCTCTGTCATTGCGCCTAGGATGCGCATCAGTTCTGTAGCAGAGTAATAGAATAATTTCATTCACTGAGCGTGCTGTGCAATTTTTCTTTGTGACCAATGAATGATGCCTCCTGGCCACCATTGCCCCTGACCACTTCACAGTCCTCTGTAACCCATTGCTCTAGAGAGTCATCGTGTCCAGGAAACTCTCTGTGCTGCAGGTAGTTGTCTTTGTCAACTGCCCAAACAATTTGTATATTCAGCTTGTCTTTCTGTCACTACAGTGTCAGCAATTATTTCTTCTGTGACATCCCTCCCCATCCTTAACCTGTCCTGCTCGGACATACACAGCACAGATGTTATTCATTTCACCTGGTCGACTCTATTTGTCATTATTACTATCCTAGTTGTTCTAGTCTCTTATATGTACATCCTCATCCCCATCTCTGGTCAGATGTTGGCTGGTTGTGTGTTCTTTCAGTGTGCTGTCCCAGCTCTGTGCAGATAGTGGAAATAGCAGACCTCAATTAAACAGCCCAATAAATCCACAGACTCAATTTTCAGCGAAGGCACCCAGCCAGGTTTACTGTCAACAAAGCACGGTGGTAGTAGCATCAGGATGGAGAGTAAAACATGTATGCTCGTGACAATGGACACAGCTCAGTCAGTGGCAGGACTTTCCACTGCTCTCTAGGCTGGCCAAAGACACTCCCTCTGAGATACAACTTTATACTCCAATACAAACAAGTTACATATTGCCCCTGACGTATCAGAGTGACACCCTCTGTCGTATTAGGGCGCCACCCATTGACGGATCCAAGGGCTGCCCATTACCTTGTACATGTTGGTTTGATTAAAACATCTCTATCCATCATGCTGCCATCCTGACCTTATCCTTACGATGGGTCAGCGTGCTCCTGTTATCTCTGGGGAAGGTGTTTGGTATCAAGGTGTTCTGCTGCCATCTTTCTGGGATATGTTGGCGTATGTATTCCTGTGCCTAGCATAACTTAAGCATGTGTGTTTCTGCAATATCAGCCCTGTTCCTGCCAGATTCTGTGAAAGGGGCCTGTCTCTTGCACACAGCTTGACTTTGCTTTATATCTGCAAAGTTTTGACTACTTTAGTTCAGGCCTCACACCAGACCTGTGATACACAGCCTTATGTTTCAGGCCGTCTTCTTACTACATCATCCTAAAGATCCACTCTGTTAAGGGAGACTCAAACCCTTCTGTACCTGTGCTTCTCACCTGACAGCTGTCACTACCTTCTACGGTACTCTGATTTTATGTGTTTATAACCCAGTTCTGGCTACACCTTGGACCAAGACAACGTCTTCTGTGTTCCCTATGTTGAACCCCCAATCTACAGCCTGAGAAACAAGGTGGTGAAGGACGCCGTTAGAAGCATGATATACAGGAAGATATTTTCTCAATAAATGTAATAAACAGCTGTGAGAGAGGGGCAAGTTCTCTATGTCACCATCCTGATTTCTCTGATTGCACCATTTCTTTGATTTGCCCAAAATGATTGTGCATAACGAGGGCTCTTTAATATTGGCAATCCCAATAGGAACATAGGACCCCTCCCCAGGGTCACTGAGTCTAGTCTACTGCTGTTGCAGGCAGCAACATAACATCCCATTCATAAACTTATTCAGCTCCACTTTAAATCTAGTTAGGTTGTATAACTACATTGACTCTAGTGGGAGGTTGTTCCTGAATGTCACTCCTCTGATGGTTAGAAACCTTCTTCCACTTTCCAGACTAAATTTATTTATGGGTATAAAATGGCCATGAATAAGAAACAGGCCAGGGCTAGCTGACCCTGGTTTCAATCCACCGACCACTGGGTTATTATGGGAGTAGCACACTTCCAGCGTTCTACTTAGAGGTTGTCTGCAGTTTGTTGTAATCAGTAAAGCCAGACCTCAAGAAATTCTGTTTGTAAATCACAGGCCTCTTATACTTGATGTAAAGGTGAATTGCAGTTATCATCAGTGCTTTAGGTTGGGTGCCCTTTGTAGATTGAAACTCAGGTAAAAGGATGCTGACATAAAAGGGGTCTGAAGACCACCTGCATAGCTTTTCCATTCTGTAACCCCTATCCTCAAAAGCAGAAAAAGGCAACAAAAATGATTAGGGGTATAGAACAGATACCATATGAGGAGAGATTAATAAGACTGGGACTTTTCAGCTCGGAAAAGAGACGACTAATGGAGGATATGATAGATATCTATAAAATCATGATGTGTGGAGAAAATAAGTTAGTGTTATTTACTATTCATAACACAAGAATGAGGGGTCACTAAATGAAATTAATAGGCAGCAGATTTAAAAAAAACAAAAGTAAGCATTTTGTCACACAGTCAACCTGTGAAACTCTTTGCCAGAGGATGTTGTGAAGGCCAAAACGGTAACAGGGTTTTTAAAAGAACTTGATAAGTTCATAGAAGATAGGTCCATCAACAGCTAATAGCCAAGATGGGTGGGGATGGTGTCCCTAGCCTCTGTTTGCCAGAAGCTGGGAATGGGCAACAGGGGATGGATCACTTGATGATGATGGTCTGAATCATACAAATACCTGAGCTGTTCTGAAACTGCAACTCAATAGAGGACACTGTCAAATATACAGGCCCATACATTTTATATTCTCTCTCGTTAGACTATGCTCAGCTCCCAGTGTGCTAAGATCACAGAATCTCAATTCCAGCACAACTGTTACAGAATTTTAAGGCGGCCAGGACTGCAGAAAACAGTACATCTCAATCATGTGGGATCAGAGAGAGAACTCAGGGCCTGGTATGTGGAAAATATTTCCATAAACTCATAGATCATGTGAAATTCACTCTGATTCCAGTGCAGACTCAGATATGGACCTATAAAAAGTCGGGGGGGGTTATGGAGAAAGTTGACAATGCAGGTGATTCTTAGGGAGAACTGATTAAACGACGTCAGAATAACCACTGATAAAATGCCTCTGATAAAATGCCAAGATGGAAACAGACCATCACCTACTATACCATTGTTTTCATTCTCCAACTGGTGGAGACTGAATTGTCTATAGAAGGTAGATCAAGAATGTCTCCTCTCCGGTCTCATAACACAAGAACAGGAGAAAAATCAATCAAATTAAAAGTTAGGAAATTCAAAATCAAGACAAGGAAGTCAATTTTCACAAAATGCATGGTTTTTCTAGGGAACTCATTGCCACAAGAAGTAATTGTGGTCAAGAATTTAGTGGGGTTCAAAGAGTGATAGGATATTTATATGCATATGCAGAATATTTTCACCGAAATGTCGGGTCTGCCTAGCTGAGAGCCAATAACAGCCAGACAGGGATAAGGAAAGGTTGCTTTATTCTGCAGAAGAAAGGAGAGCTTTGCACCTTGGTACAAAAACTCTGTCTTACACACATTTCACAGATCCTTTATACACATTCAGACAAAGGCCCTTGGCATGTTAACACTTGATTGGTGGTTGCCAGACCCATGCTTCTGCTATCTGGTCAGTGAAAACCAGTTTGGGACCAGCTCCAACTACCTCAAGGCCTTGAAAGGCAAAACAGTTGAAAAGTTCAGGCTACTGTGTACTAGAGGTGTCTGCTTCCCCCTAATGGCCGCTGGCTGCCATAACAGCTGCTAGCTATTGGGGGAGCGGTTGCTGCTGACTGTCACAGTTCCCTCGTCGGGCCTGACAAACCCAAATTGTCAGGCCCGTTACGCAATTTGTGGTCAAGCTGGAGGGAAAGATACTGTGTTTTCCCACGGGCGGCAGAGCCCTTAGTAACGGCACTACACAAACATCTTGCACATTGAAACATTACCCAAATAACACATAGAAAGAAAAGAAGAAAAATAATCCACTTGACAATTTTTCGGAAGAGCCCCGTGAACCATGACCCAAGGTCTGGGAGGAGGTCCTCAAAACTAAAGGTGTGATCAAGAGATACAGCACGGAAAACAACAGCAGCATTCTTAATGGCTTGTAAATCCTGCTCAATTAAGCCGGAATGATTAACATAGAAACAACATTTTTCCCCGATGCGAGCACAAGCCCCCCCTAATTCAGCATTCATGGCATCTAACACATGCCTATTTTGCAGCGTTATTTCTGCTATTTCATCGATTTCTCGTTGTAACTTCTGGAAAGCGTCTAAAGAGGCATTAGCTGCCTTTTCAAGTTCAGCCGAAATATTTACTAGCGCCCTTTTGAGCTCTGCTACTCCCTAAGTGCACGAACAAAGGAATGAAATCCCGTTTGCCTGACTACTAGGGGATTTTCGGCTCGTTTAATTCAAGCTCCTTTCAAGGGGGTGAAGAGCTTATGAGAATAGGTTCCCAGGTTGAGGATTTGGCGTGAGTCTAGCATGGTGTTTACAACAATTCTTAAGGGGTAAAAGGTTCCATTCCTAACACTAAACTGAAGGGTTTGATCACAGGCTTCTAGGGGGAGGTAACCCATTTCCCTCCCGTTTCCTTTAGCATTCTCCAAACAAAGGGGCAGGTTATACCCGATCCCAAGAACTTCAAAAAGAGGGACCCCCTTAGCTGCCCAGTAATAATGCCAAACTTCAGACCTCCTCCCATATTTGTCATATTGATATTCCCCAACCCATGCCCATTCAGTTTTCCGTACTACCTGTAAGGAGAGTACTTCAGAGAGATTTGCAGGTACAGCCCACAACCCTATTCCTTCCTCAGAGCAGGTTTTGTGACACAGCCAACAATCAGACAAGTGTCCCAAGGTGGCCATTCGCTGAAGAAGTTTAGCAGCTGGGTGTGGGTTAGCTTGTACGAGGGGCAGACCCAAAAGTCATAGCCACTGCAGCACCGTCTGAGAACCCATAGTTATAATGTCTTAGGACTTTGTTCGCCAGAACAGAAGCTTTAGTCCCTCGAGAGGTTCAGCTTTCCAGGTATCATCTGCTTCTGGCTCTTCCGGGTCGCGGTGGGAAGAGCTGGCGGTGCTCCCTCGAGGTCCGAAGTCGTCTGCTTCTGGCCCCGTCCTAAAGGCTAGCTTGACTCGGGTGTGGTGTATCCAAGTGTCTCGCTCTTTCACTCGAATGGCAGTGTGAGAGGGAAGAAGGACTTGGAAGGGGCCCGCCCACTGGGGCTGGAGAGGCTCATGTTTTCATTCTTTGACATAGACCCAGTCCTCTGGCTTGATCCGGTGAGCAGGTACCTCAGCAGGTAGGGTCTGAAACTGAGCCGCATACCTGTGGAGAGATTTGAGAGTGGTTTGGAGGGAAACAACATATCTGGTTAGCTCCTCGTCACCCCAAAATCAGTGGCTAAATCAGTTACAGATCCTGGATCAGCAAATCTGGTGTATGGCCTGCCAAATAAAAGTTCAAAGGGTGAGAGACGGAGCCAGTCCCTAGGGGCAGTTCGAACTGCCAAGAGGGCCGAAGGTAGAGCCTGAAGCCACTTTAACCCAGTCTGTGCACACAATTTGGAGAGCTTAAGCTTTAAAGTTTGGTTCATTCTTTCCACTTGTCCAGAGGATGGTGGTCTCCAAAGGGTATGTAGAAGCCAGGTAATACCTAGGGCCTTACCAATGTGTTGAATAACCTGGGCGGTGAAATGAGTCCCTTGATCAGAGTCAATAGACCTAGGAGGGCCAAACCTAGGGATGACATGGTTTAATAAGGTCTTTCCTACTTCCCAGGCAGTTGCTCGTCTAGTCGGGAATGCTTCGGTCCAGCCAGTCAGTTGGCATACAGTTACAAGAAGGTACTTGTAGCCTTGGTACTTAGGCATTTCTGAGTAGTCAATTTGAAGTCGCTTGAAGGGTGTGTATGCCCATAACCTGGCTCCGGGGGGGCCTTTAGGTTCCCCCCTTGGATTGAATTTTGCACAGATGTCACAAGTAGCAAGGACTTGTTTGGCTTTCTGGAATACTCCAGGGGCATACCAAAGTCTATTCACAGTAGCTGCCATGGCCTTTGCTCCACCATGTGTTTCCTGGTGTAGTTTAAAAAGGGCAGATCGCAGAGCAGCTCGGGTCAGGGCTCTTCTCTCATCAGGTAGTTGCCATTCCCGCTCTGGCATCTTGGAGGCCCCCATGCTTTCCCAACGCTCGACCTCTAATGGTTCAGGGGCAAAAGGGGCTGGGACGGGAGTTGGTGGGGTGGAGGATGCGAGTACCATCTGGTTGGTAACATAAGGCTGTAGGGAGGCTGCTTTTGAAGCTGAATCAGCCAACCGGTTCCCACAGACGGTGGGATCGTTTCCCTTCTGATGGGCCCGAACATGGATGATGGCAATCTCGGATGGCAGGTGTATGGCTTCCAATAATTCCAGGATCAAGGGCCCATGTGCTATTGTAGTGCCACTGGAGGTAATAAACCCATGGCAAACGCCAACGGCATATTTCGAGTCAGTATATATATTTACAGACTGACCTGCTGCCAGCTCACATGCTCGGGTGAGGGCTATCAATTCTGCCACCTGGGCTGAGGTGGAAGGTCCCAGGGGAGCAGACTGTAATACATCAAACTGAGTAGTTACTGCAAACCCAGATACCCGTTGGCCCTCCACAACCCGTGCCGAGCCATCAGTATACAGCTCCAGTTCAGCATTTGGAATGGGCACATCTGAAAGATCTGGTCGAGGTTTTTCTTGATGATGCACTACTTGAAGACAATTTAACAAGGGAATAGTGTCCGTTTCGCATGTTACATATCCTTGTGGTAGCCGAGTCCAGGTCAGTTGTTCTGCTCTCCCAGTTTCTGGGTCCGTTCATGTAAATGCAAAGATATTCCAGCTGTTCTTATTTAGAGGAATACTAAAAAAAAGCATTACACAAGTCTATTACCGAATAACAAGCAGTACCTGCTGGAATGGCAGTCAGGATTGTGTGGGGGTTAGGTACCACATTGTATCTAGCTTGAACAACCTTATTTACTGCACGTAAGTCCTGGACAAATCGGTATACCAGTTTTCCCTCTGAATCCATGTTAGGTTTTCTGATTGGCAGAATGGGAGTATTGAAAGGAGACTTGGTGTGAACCAGCACTCCCAACCGCAGGAATGTGGTGATAAGACTCCGGAGGCCAAACAGAGCTTCTCGGGGGACGGGATACTGACGAATTCAAGGAATGTCAATGCCTGGCTTCAGGGTTATTCGTACCCGCTCTGTCCGGAGAGTGCCCAAGTCCGCTTTTGAAGTACCCCATAGGGAGGCTTGTACCTCCTGTCTGACTCGCTCGGGTAGGATCAGGCCCGCAGGCAGGATCGAGTCCTCTGAATCCTGGGTCAATACAGCACACAGCTGGGGAAGTTGGTTTTGAGGTAACCGGAGGATGATCCTGTCATCTGAAAAGAAAATCTGAGCACGCAGTTTACACAACAGGTCTCTGCCCAAGAGATTAACTGGGGAATCAGGAGCTAGCAGAAAGGCATGGGAGGCGGAAACTCCAGAGATCTCTACAGTAGCTTCCTGTAACACAGAACAGTCAAATGGCTTTCCGCCTATACCCATTACCGAAATACTTTTAAACACCGGGTAAAGGCCATTTACTTAACATATAATTCAAAGAGCTATCCTTAGAGGGTTTTACCAGAGACCCACCCATCTGCCTGCTGACACTCTAACAGAGAATTACACAGAGAACAGAGGGAATTATGGCCTAATAGGATCCTATTACAGGAATTTCTACTAATACTGACCGCTACAGGGGACGGGACAGAAGGATCCCAATTCGACCTCAGAGCTTCATCGCACGCAATGGCTTCCACTCTGAGGAATTACGAATGAGAGGCTCAGTTCCGTTCACACACCTAATGCCCAAATGTATAAGACAGAAATTCATTAACCAGTTAACCAGAACAGAACCAGACCAGAACCAGATAGTGTCTCCTTATCCTATTAGGACTCACCTTATCGGAGCACGAACCACAGGGGCTGCGAAGTGAAGAAAAGGGGCTAAGCACCCGTTGGCGCCGTTCCCAGTTCGCCGCAGCCATCCGGAGTCCAATGTCCGAGCTAGGAGAGTCCCGGCGGAGTTGCCAGAAACTGTCACCGAAATATCGGGTCCGCCTAGCTGAGAGCCAATAACAGCCAGACAGGGATAAGGAAAGGTTGCTTTATTCTGCCGAAGAAAGGAGAGCTTTGCACCTTGGTACAAAAAACTCTGTCTTACACACATTTTACAGATTCTTTATACACATTCAGACAAAGGCCCTTGCCGTGTTAACACTTGATTGGTGGTTGCCAGACCCATGCTTCTGCGATCTGGTCAGTGAAAACCAGTTTGGGACCAGCTCCAACTACCTCAAGGCCTTGAAACAGAAGACAGTTGAAAAGTTCAGGCTACTGTGTACTAGAGGTGTCTGCTTCCCCCTAATGGCCACTGGCTGCCATAACGTCTGCTAGCTATTAAGGGTGGGGGGGGGTCGGCTGCTGACTGTCACAATATCAAGAGTTATAATTAAAGAAAAAAATTGGTAGAGAGATTATCTCTCATGCTTGAAGGTTTAAACTAATCTCTAACTATTGGAGATTAGGAGGAGACCTAATGTTGGGGGAAGATTCTCCCACATCTGCCTACTGTGAGGTTCTTACACTTTCCTTAGAAGCATTCGGTATAAGCCACTATCATAGACAGGCTATTGGACTAGATAGACCTTGTGTCTGATCCTGTCTGGCAATCCCTATGTTTCTGTGACAAAGGGGAACTGGTAGCTTCTACAGGTTAGTTCAGTCATGGAACAAGAGTCTGCCCCAGAGCTTCCTCAAACTCTGCAGGGTTATGGTTATGGCTAAGGTTGGGCAGCTGTGAACACAAGACAGTTCACACTTGCCCCTGTGGATAGATAATTTGATGTGCATCTGTAACACTAACAGACCTCGGTAGGCAGGATTGAACCTAGGACTTCTGCAGCTTAGTGCATGAGCCTCTACCACATGATCTAAAAGCCACATGGCTCTAAACTAAGGCTGTAGGGCACACTCATTAATATCTCTCTCTAAGGGTACATCTACACTACAGCGGGGAGTCGATTTAAGATATGCAAATTCAGCTACGTGAATAGCGTAGCTGAATTCGACGTATTGCAGCCGACTTACCCCGTTGTGAGGACGGCGGAAAAATCGACTTCTGCCGCTTTTTGTCGGCGGCGCTTACTACCACCTCCGCTGGTGGAGTTAGAGCGCCGATTCGGGGATCGATTGTCGCGTCCCGTCGGGACGCGATAAATCGATCCCCGAGAGGTCGATTTCTACCCGCCGATTCAGGCGGGTAGTATAGACCAGACCTAAGTGGTCTCAGTGCCACCAGGTGGGACAGAGCACCACACCCAGGAGGTGTGTGGGTTATATATCTACACCAGGTTACAAGTTAAGGACATGATCTGCCAATTGGGTATAACGAGCCAGACCACTGCCCCAATAAGGGGCTTGTGCCCCTAAGTCATTTATGTGCTTTGGGAAATCCTATGAGCGTAAGGGCCAGATCCTCCTCTTGTATAAATGTATGAAGCCCCACTGACTTCAGTGGAATGACACCAATTTTGACCAGTTATGGTTCTGGTCCAATGACTTCAGTAGAGCTCCACCTATTTACTAAAGCTGGGGGTCTCACCCATTAGCACCAATGGAGCTAATGCTGATTTCCACCCGCTGGGGATCTGGTCCCGTTGACTGCAATGTAGTGATGCGAGCTTACACCAGCTGGAGTGCAATTGATTTCAGTGGAGCAAAGATGATTTACACCCGCTGGAGATACAGCCACATCGATTTAAGTGGCACTCCGAGTTACATTAGCTGGGGTTTCTGGCCCATTAACATCAGTGGAGCGATGCTGATTTATACTGGCCAATTGTGTTTCACTTAACCATCAGCTTCACACTCCTTTATATTAATGTTGCATTGATGTAAAACACTCAGGATTGCACTGTTTTTTCCAGATAAATAGGAGATTCTGGTTCTTTCCCTAACATAGTTTTTTGGCTTTTTAATGGCAGATTTTGATACCCCTACCCACACGTTTTCAGCAGCTAGTCCTGTAGAAGTCAAAAAGACCAATCTCAGAGTAAGAGGCTATTCAGTGTAAGGACATGAGAATCAAGCCTATAGTTTCGAGATGCCCTAACATATTGTTATGTATCCGATAAAGCCCCTTCTTGTCTTTCTTGTGTGCATTAAAATTCTTCTTAGTTTATTTGGAACCTAAGCCTATCTTGCTTTACTTGCTCTGAGTAGTACTTGATCTCAATGAGGCTACTGGTATGAGTCAGTACTAGTCAGTGTGAGCAAGGATCCTAGACCCATGCCCGCAGTGACCTGGTTTGATTTGTCATGACTTTGGACACAATGGGCCAAATGTAGCCCTGGCATAAAAGAATGATGCCAGAGATGAATTTGGCCAGAAAGTGAAGATATTGAAAGGAAAAAAGGGAAAGAGTAAATGCTATTGTCCAGCACTGGTTATGCCAGTAAAGTTAATCTTGACATAATTCCCCAAAGTTAGGAGAACTTTGTAGAAAGCATCCATTATTATGGATTATAATAAGCTGCTGTGGGCCTCATTAAAACATTGTTTTTTGAGCAATTCTGTCATTATCTAATTAGGCAAGAAAACATATTGGGAATAGTTAGGAAAACAACATATGACTCATTACACAGAAATAATGTCAGCATTAACACTTGCTCTGCCAGAGTAATGAATAAGTAAACATATTTGTAGTTTAACTGAAGTTAAGAAGTTAGCCGAGACAGTTTGTACAGGGGCACCTTCTCCCGTGTATAAAAAAATAGCTGCCCCTTCTCATTAAAATCAATCTGAAAAAACTACCAGCCCCCTTGTCATTCATTAAGGGCCCTATCATTGACCATTGGACTCAATGGAGTCTTTTCATGGACTCCAGGGCATATTAGTTCAGTACCATAGATCCCAGTCCTGGGCATTCTTATGTGAGTGCTTCAATTTACGCATGTGAGTAATCCCTTTGACGTCAATTGGACTACTTGCATGAGTAAAATTAAGCACATGCACATGTGTTTGCAGGATTAGGGAACTTGGAAAGCACAAGCAAGGTGGTCAACACAAATGCTTCAAAAACAACCTAAAACAGAATCTCAGCTCATGCAACATAAATATAGATAAGTTTGAAGACACAGCCAAGGAGAGACCTGAAAAGTCAACAACTATCAAACAGTTTGAGAAAGACGCACAAGAAAAACGGATTGAAAAAACAGTCAAGCATCATGCCAAGTCTTCATCGGGACCCTGCATATTTCTAAGTGACATCCATTAAAATCTTGCTCCTTGCAAATTGGGCTTTACAACCACGAGGGAGCATACGAGATGCCATGATGTCATTGCTGGATACAATGTGTTACCGAAATATCGGGTCCACCTAGCTGAGAGCCAATAACAGCCAGACAGGGATAAGGAAGAGTTGCTTTATTCTGCAGAAGAAAGGAGAGCTTTGCACCTTAGTACAAAAACTCTGTCTTACACACATTTTACAGATCCTTTATACACATTCAGACAAAGGTCCTTGCAGTGTTAACACTTGATTGGTGGTTGTCAGACCCGTGCTTTTGCTATCTGGTCAGTGAATCCCGCCTTGGGCCAAACTCCAACGCCCGTAAGGCCTTGAAGGG